TATTTTACTCAAAGGAATGGAGTGAATGTTTATCAGTTACCAGCAAGTGAACAAAAAAACTGTGAAATTATTATTACAAGATATAAAGGGCGAGTTGATGAAAATGTTATATATATAATGATAATGATAATGAACAGGATTAAATGATGAAGATATAATGAGCAGGTAACAAGAAGAGTGAAAAGCAATAAAGTCAAGTGTACAAGTTGAGTGTGAAAGTGATAATGAAATAAAAAAATGTACAATAAATTATAATAAATCCAGCAAAAAGAAAGGGAATGAAAATAATTTTACAAGTTTCTAGTTAATAACGTGAATATTTTTTCATGATGATTTGTTCCCATCAACCTCAATAAGAGCAACTCTTAACCAACATTCACCTTATTCAGGCAATAATAATACGACTTGTGAATAAACAATTAAGTCAAGAATGTTGAAATAATAATTAGCACTTTCATAGATAATTATCATTCTTATGATTCTTCTTATTCTTCAGTACAGTTAATTAGTTTTTTCATGTAAATTACAATTAATGTCATAACATGAGAATTGATATAATCTTAGTCAAAGCTTAGTTTGAATCAAATTATCTGGCAACAATTTTACACTTCAATTAAACTGAGTTACAATTTTTTTCCAATCATTTTCATATCAAACAGAAATGAATAATTTCACTGAAAATATTGAAAGCAAAAATGAATTCATTAGAAGCAAGAAATCGAGAAAAATTCATGAAAAATTTTCAGACAAGTCAACTTATTCAGATGATGAAGCACTTGATTAACATGTTTGAACACTTGTTATTAACAAACAATCGTCATTTCAATTATCAATGTGACAATAGATTAAAGTTGAACGTTAAGTATTTGAATTAAGTTTCTGATTCAACAATTTACTCTTCAGTTAATGTAAAATGTGTGCCTCTTGTTTTCAATTTTAACTCGACATTTGATTGTAATAATGATCATTTGTATGTTGATGGTTGAAAGGTTGAGGCAACGTTGTTATTAGTTGAACATGAGCTGAACCTTTCATTAGATGAACATTAAAATAATGAAAAAGCATCCAACATTGTACATTAAATGGCATCAAATTTAGAAGCTCAAAAATTTGCAAATAATTTGTAATTTAAAATAGCTAGTTGATTGTTGATTGATTTGCTTGCTTGTGTTTGCATCTGTTCCAACATCATTATTGTTGATTTAAAATGATATCATCTCGAGTGTCATTAAAGGTTAATTAAATTGTAAAATGCAACGTCAATTTAAGGAAGAAATAAAAACACAATCATTAGTCTTCCAACCATTTAAGGTCATTGTTTTCGCATCCATTTCAATCAAACCTTAAGTGATTGTTTGCCATTAAAAAACCAACAATTAACTGAATTAACCATTTCATTTTAGTACAATTGAACAAACTGAAAATTCTTGTTAAACCAATTACAACCAAAATGGAAAATACAAATTGGATTCTCAAGAGAAGAAGAAAAATTTAAATTTTAATTTCGTTAACTTTATTAACCAGAAATCTGTTCAATTAGGAGTTGATCAATGAAATTTGCTTTCAATGAATGAAATTCATTTCTGGTTTGCCTTTGAATGAATCAATCTGTTTCTAGTTATCGCTTTATTCCGATCAAGTGAACATTAATTTGTAGTCTAATTACAGGTTCAGTGATGTTCCGATTTACCATCAATTTTGCCTGTTAAAGGCATTATGAAAGTAGATTAGAGTGATTATCAATGATCAATAGGATTTGCATTAATAACAGTTAACACGAAATGCTAGTGATTGATATGTTCATACGCAATGATCCTTGGTTATCATGAATTTAATGTTTAATAGTCGGTGAAGAAGATTCAAGACTTGAGACTTTAAATAAACTGAGTGAGTTTACGGTTGCACAGATAGCTTTTTGTTCAATAGTCGACTGACTAAGGTAAACTTTGTAACCTTGTATTAAGGCTTGTTAAGTTGCTGTTTGATTAGCAGTGAATGCAAAATGACTAAGATGAAACTTGAGAGTTTGTTTGAAGTCAAACACACAGCACAACTCGGTAAAAAAACAAGTCAAGTGGAGCTTCTTGACATGTAAACATATTAAATGTATTCCAACAAAAGTTCAACTTGATTGTTTAACCTTCATCTTGGTTGGTGTATTGACTTTAACAAATTCATGTTCAACAAAATCAACGACAAACTAGAGTAAACTAAACTCCTTGAAATATCAAAATAATCTTAAAAAACATTGTCACAATAGACTAATGTTCATCATCTGTATCACAATCAATTGAGATGATGTTAAGATTGAACCAAGTATTGAATCTTTTGATCATTTTTTGATTTACAGTAAAAAAGCACATGATGATATACTTTTGAATAATTTATTAATCATTTGACGAGCATTTCATGAGAAGCAAAAAAATCACCAGAAAACTGAGAAACTTCAAGAAAATGCCTTTTTCATTGACTTTTGTCAACGAAAAATTCAAAGCTAAAAAGTCACCAAGTTTAGTTAGAGGTTGAATCACTCACTAGATGGCAATGCAAAACAAATGTCGAGAAAATCATTTTTATTGAAATTCATTTTTCAATCAAATAATCATTAAACTTGAAATGAAGAGACAAATTGAATTCAACTGATTGCCTATCCAATCAAGGCTGGATTTCATGAAAAATGAAGTGAGCCTAGAATCAAACTGAATCAAGAATTAAATTTCAAAAGCAAGTCCCAGTAAATATGAGTTTAATCAATGAAACAAAATGAGTTTAAATTGCGCTTTAAATGGTAATTTTGTTGAAAAAATTATCGACCAATGATCAGCAAATCTGTTGACCAATCAGGGCAGTAAGAGACACTTTTGGACACAAACGTAAAACTGAAAACTATTAATAAATGTGATTGATATCGTATTAATAGTTGAAGATAATGTTGATCTATTAAACGATGAAATTTCAATAAAAATGTTTATTGACATGAAAATTGACAAATTGTGATATTTTTGATCATTTTTGTCATTTCAAACGCTTTTAACTGACAAAAGTGTAATCATTAAACTGAATTGAATTAATCAAAATAAGAGGATAACAAACAATACAATTGCTTTTGGTTGCCTTTCAATTACAATTCAAACATTAACATCACTGTATATTACACTGTATGTGACCACAATGCTTAAGAGTTAACCTTTTTTTTGACAACAATAGAAAGTAATGATAATAATCACAATAACCAGGGAAGATGAAGATGAGAAGAATAATAATCGTCTTCATAATCATCATTTTCTCAACACAACCCAACACTTAACCTCACTTGTTCAACATTTATCTTCCTCTTTTCAAACAATTTACCCAAAAATAAATAGTTTTGCCATTTTTATGCATATAAATTCATTCATACAATAAGAGTTATTACAATTACTTATTCCATTCTTTCATTTCTTTTCTCCTTTTCTTTCCACCAACGATGATAAGTACATTTTTCATCCTCACCTTAGTAAACCTTATCATTATTGATAGCAACTAATAACCATAATTGCTGTTACAATGATTAACTGTAAATTATGAACAATTAAAAGGCGCATTGTCTAAGCTCAAAAACAGAATTTAAAACAGAAAAGTTGATGAATTAAATTGCAACCTGGAGTGGAGGATGGCCTGTTAGTAAAGTCCTGAAGACCAGTAAAGTCCAGGAATGAAGATTTGGAGACTTCGCCAAGTTAATCATGTCATAGAGAAACAAATGATGAATTTTAATCAAAAACTATGTCCTCTAATTTGATACACAATCTATCGTCACTGAATGTTCATCTTATCTTACAAGAAACAATTCTCAAACGCTACAGAAGTTTTCAATTTTTTTACGTCAGAATATTCTAGTGTGTCAGATATAAACCTCTGTCAAGCCTTTCGTTTCGCCAATGCTACGAATAAAAGTTGCAAAGTGTCGAAGTATCAATTTTTGCATAGGTTAAGTTTTAGACTAACCATAATAATCAGCATTGAAAAACACAAAATCTAGTAAAAATTTGGATGAATTCGAAAAAATTTGACGAGTTAATATTTTTGACTTGTAGTCTTGCATATTATATTTTTCTTAATTAATTGATTCTTAATTACAGTCACCATTGAGATAATGCACCGCCCTGGGAATAGCTTATTTTCACTATTCTTCGGGCAGTGTAATTCATGATTTTCAATCTTCCTTATTAGATCAAAGTTAACCTTAAATTTTGCTTTAATCTGATTTTGCGAGCTTTTGGAAGAAATTGAATTAAAGGTGTTTCCGATGAAAAATTTATTGAGATTGAATCCGATTCAATGTCAATAAATTGTGACGTTTTGTGACGTCACAATGGATTTTTCCGGTGAAATGTTGATTGGATTTACTTCCGGTGACTTTTTTTGACCTGTGAATGTTTTCTTCATCCGTTAGATCATTTTTAGAACAAATTAAGTCCAAAAATGTCGATGTAAATTGATCTGAATCGACTTTTTGGATCTAGAAAACTCGATCCATTTTTCATCGGAAACACCCTAAGTCAATTGATAATTAAAGAAATCGAATCAAAATTTGATGCAATTCGAAAGTAGATATAACTCCTCCTTGATAGGGCCATTGAAAAAATGAGTGCATTATCTCAGTGGTGACTGTAGATTAAATAATTCGGCTATATCACAATAAAGCTTCACAAATGTGGACTCTATTGACAGTTCAACCTTTATTTTTAGCAATTGGAAGATATAAATGAAGATATTATTTTAAATGCAACAGATGTATAAATATTTGTGAAAAATTCTGTCTACTATTTAATTTGATGCTGTTATTGAAAGGTTACGTTATTACTCATCACATCTAAAAATTAATGTAAATGCAAACAAATGACTTCTGAAGCAACAAAAGCTTCAAACACAGACTTATGACAGTTTTATATCCGTTTCCAGGGAGTGATTCAGTTTATACAGTTGACTTCAGATGAAGTATAAAATGAGAAACTTTTTAAGAAAAAATTATATCATCTCAACATTCGAGAACAAAACAGTTAAGATTTAAAACACTTTCAAAATGGTTAAAAACATGTATTTGTGCTCAGTTCTACTAGCTATCATCTCCTGTAATTATGTCTCTATGCAATTGGAGGGGGTTGTCTCCTTAGGTCCGGACATGCCGAGAGATCTTCCAGATCCTGGCGGTGTAGTCGCAGTAGCCCAATCAAATGCTCAAGCAGTAGCTGTTGATGACGATGAAGACAGTGAAAATGGAGGTATGCTGGATGACGTACCTGACGCTGGTAGCATGGTTGGTGTAGAACTGAACATGCCAGACTCAGTTGGCGTGATAAACAAACTTACATCTTTAATGAACGGAGTTGCACCTCCTTCTATTCCGGAAACGCCGGAAACGCCTTCAGTACCATCAGTACCGAATACAGACTCGATAACTGAAATTGTTAAATCAGTAGCTGGTTCAGGAGGCGATGCTGATTCAGAAGCTAAAGCTAAGTCAGAAGCTAAAGCTAGTTCAGATGAAGGATCTGGATCTAGTTCAGGTGGTGGAGCTAGTTCAGAAGCTAAAGCTAAATCAGAAGCTAAATCTGGTTCAGGTGGTGGAGCTAGCTCAGAAGGTGGTGCAAGTTCAGAAGCTAAAGCTAAATCAGAAGCTGAATCTAGTTCAGGTGGTGGAGCTGGATCTAGTTCAAGTGCTGGTGGTGGTACTGCTAACAGCTCAAGTGCAAACACCGATACCGTCTCAAAAACCGAATCCACCACAAATAATGAATCAACCACAAATAATGAATCAACCACAAATAATGAATCAACCACAACTAATGAATCAAACACCAAGACTGTTGCAAATACTAACGCTGGCGGTAATTCAGGTTCAGAAAATAGTGAAGCAGTAAATTCAGCTTCAGCTTCAGATTCATCATCAGGAACCAAATCATCTAGTAACTCAGCACCAGAAACCCCTGGTTCAGCCGCTCCAGCACCAGGCGCTCCTGGTTCACCCGCTTTAGCACCAGGCGCTCCTGGTTCACCCGCTCCAGCACCAGCAGCTCCTGGTTCACCCGCTTCAGCACCAGAAACCCCTGGTTCAGCCGCTCCAGCACCAGCAGTTCCTGGTTCACCCGCTCCAGCACCAGGCGCTCCTGGTTCATCCGCTTTAGCACCAGGCGCTCCTGGTTCACCCGCTTTAGCACCAGGCGCTCCTGGTTCACCCGCTCCAGCACCAGCAGCTCCTGGTTCACCCGCTCCAGCACCAGGCACTCCTGGTTCACCCGCTCCAGCACCAGCAGCTCCTGGCTCACCCGCTCCAGCACCAGGCGCTCCTGGTTCACCCGCTCCAGCAACATCACCAACTAATGAATCACCCGCTTCAAGTTCAGCAGCAGCATCAGCAACATCAGCAGCTTCCTCTGGTTCACCTGCTCCAGCACCAGCAGCTCCTGGTGCACCCGCTCCAGCAACATCACCAACTAATGAATCATCCGCTTCAAGTTCAGCAGCAGCATCAGCAACATCAGCAGCATCCTCTGGTTCACCTACTCCAGCAACATCACCAAACAAAAAATCTGGCTCTGGCTCAGAAGCTAGTAAAGGCAAAAGCAATTCAGGAGGTAGCTCGGGTGGTAAATCAACTGCCAAATCTAATGCAAACTCTTCAGCTAACGCAGGTAAAGGTAATAGTAAAAATGCTAAAGGAAAGGGAGGAAAAGGTGGATCATCCGCTACTTCAGCAGCTTCAGCTGCAGCAAGCTCCGGATCAAAAGGAAACCCCACTGGCAAAGGCAAGAGTGGGTCTGGTTCACATGCAACTGATAAATCAATGATTAACATTGATGTACCTATGACTGGAATTCATATGAAAATGTAAATGCTGAATTCATATTTTCGTCATAATCTTTTCTGTAACAATGAAATAAATAAGTTAAAATAAGCAAAATTCAGTCTGTCTCGATTAATTTTTTATAACAAGTAACGGAACAACAAAATGAATTAAATGAAAGTTTATAGCTTATTTGATTTATTTTGGAATCGGAAGGAAAAGGTCATCCAAGGTCATTTTTCGAAAATCGCTCCTAACGATACCAGAGGTCAATTCAATGTCACATAATTTTAAAGTCAAATAATCGTACTGGTCAAGATGTTCGTAGTGATAGAGGAACAAAATCCGTAATTTAATTTTTGCCATAGCAAAAGAATGGGAACATGTTTGAACTTTGACAAACGATATCTTTTTTACCTTAGCTCCGATTTCTATGCCGTGAACTCAATTCACCTCAGAAAAATTGGCATGGTGAAAAATTCCGTGTACCAACCACCACTAAAATTTGACACTTTTCCGACTTTGACGGTTCGCCAAAAAACGGCCTTTTAATTCTTGGTGACCAACGTAGGCCAAACAAAAATCTAACATTTTTTCTATGAATCTTAGTGAAAATGATAAGAATCAACTGAACAGTTGCTGAGCTGTGAGCCTTCAAAAGTCCGACCTATTGACCGGAACACCTTGTATAATCTATTAACGCATATTTTTCGGAAAATTTGACCCTTTCCATTGACACCCATGTGCATGGCGCTTCTGCTTGAGTCGATTGGTTAATAATGGTGAAATTTGATTGATTCAATTGGAATCGTAGATTAGATTATTGCGTGGTTAACCAAAATAAATAAGCCTGTTTATTCAATTAACCATTGACAAATATCAATCCATGTTAACCACTTGAGACTTGTTACCTCCTTTTTCCTCATCTTCATCTTTTCATCTTTTCATCATTCTCACCCTAATCACCATTACCATCATTGTTTCTACTTCTTATTATCTTCATCATTTACCTTTCAGCCTGAAATGTTGTTCAAACGCAACAAACAAGATTATCCAGAATCACTTTTAATCTTATAATGAATGTAGCTGGTTTCAATTCATCATTTAATGGTTTACCATGTGGCAGCAAACTAAAAATCCGGCGCTTAAGCAGTTTGCAACTCAACGGTAACAGCACAAGTGAAATGCTTGTCAATGCAATTATTTCTCAAAAGTTAAACTTGTTTGAAAAACTTTTCAGTTTAATTTAAACTGATTGTCAACTTTTTGATATTTAGTCTGTCAATTATAATTAAGCACATTTGAAATAATGGTTCACAAGTAATTGATATATCAATCAAAAGTAAAATAAAAAGGGAAAAGATGGAAAAACTGTAAATGATTTGAAAAACATTGAACAAGATAAATGTTGAATCAGTTAGTGACTTGATAAATGTAAGTGTTTACCATTAAATATATCATTATATTGATAAAAATAATAAATATAAATACATGAAAAGCCTATTCTTTAACATGTCATAATAAATATTAACTTTGATTTAGAGTTTTTGAATAGCGTAACGACAATAAAACAACAATTGAATGTCAAGTGGTTTTACTTTGCACATGAAAATGGTGTACATTTATTTGTATGTTTCCAAGGAAAACACAGAGTCTGGTAGCATGAAGATAATATTGGTTTCGAATGGATTGGAATGATGAATACAAAGATGATTATGGTGATAATGATGATGAGGAATGAAAGGAAAAGGTAAAAGAAGGTTGAACCAAAATTGCGTGACAATTTTACATTACACTTTAAATCTTGAAACAGGTCAGTACAAAGGATGAGGTTGGAAGATGAAAAAGAAGCTGAAATACGATCAAGAAAATGGAATCAACTCAACTTTATTCCTTTCATCATCTATGTAAATTCAAAGTTTTCATGCAAACTCCATCATTCTTGTTTGTCTACCTTGCAAATTGAAATTTACCAATTGAACGTTTTCTAATAAACTCGAGTCCAAGATTAATAAGTTACGGATATTGAATAATGTGTCAAAATATATTTGACAATCAATTTCCTAGATTTGTTGAGATGATTGTAAAGAGTTGAAAGTAATATGTAAAATTTGATAATTTGCAGGATAAATTGAAGGTTGAAAGGTTCAAAATTGGCTGTTTCCTGGTTATTCAAAATGATCATCTTTCTTTCCCTCGAATTTCTTGTTGTTCAAAAGATTCAATGAACATATTTTGCAGAGCTATTGAAATGATACTGAAAGGAAAAAAAGTGAATCATTGAAGTATTAATATCAATCTGAATATAAATTGATGGATGCAGCATCGGAAGAAACTCTTTTTTCATGGTAAACATGGAAACATTCGTTGAAGAGATAACCCGATTTTCTATGGTAGTAATATTGGTTGGCCGGGAATTAACATTAATTGCTCAATTCATCTAATTTGCAATCTAAAAGCATCAAAATATCAAGATTTAAATTGCGGCAATCATTCAACATTGGGATGTGAAATTTTCAGTTGAAAACAAATGTTAGCAAAGTCATTAAAAAGCAAATGCATTGAAACGAACTGTAATAGGCAAAGTCAAGTTCAGAACAAAATCCTTGCCTTTCATCGGATCAGCATCATTCCAAATGAATGGCATGATTGGATTGCAATTAAAGCCATCTGAATGTTCCCATTTAGATGAAACTTTGTTTCTTCCAAGTCAGAGTTGTTCAATTAAAAATGTAACCCTAACGAGGCAATCGCAAGTGATAAGTTTAGATTACAACTTTAATGAGAGACAAAAAGATTTAGTTACAAATCAGAAAACTTTGAATCTCGTTTGAGTAGGCGAATGAAACATTTCTCAGATGAAAGTTAATACATGAGCAAGTATTCATTATAAACATTTTTGTATCAATCTTACATCATTCATTTTCGTTTTCATTGATGAAGAAGAAGATGAAAAAGAAGGAGAAGAAGAAAAAATCGCTATTCATTCCATCCATTTTATTCTCAAGATATTATATCAAGAACAATGAACAAGAGCAATGAACAGGGAAGAGAGGAAAGTAAAAGGACAACAAAACATGGGCAACAAAAGGTAAAATTGTGGGTGGAAAGTAAATTGTGTGTTCCCATGATTCCACTGAATAATTTGGTGAAATATATTCTTTGTACAAATAAGAAAGAAACAGAAATGAAAATAAATTTCTTGCCAATATGTAATATGAATCTTTATATTACATATTACAATTATTAATATCAATCCATCTTTTTTTATCTGGTTCAACAGCAACATACCATTCCATCATTATTGATATCATATGTGCATGTAATCAGAGAACAATAAAGTAACCATGTTATTCCTTCACTAATAAATATAATTTATAATATTCTTCTGTCAATAAGACGAGGGAATGCAACAATTCATTTACCATCCAATTGTCTCATTTACTATTCAATTGAAAGCCATTTAATGGAAATGGCAAAAGGTAATTAAATGAGCAAAAATGAAATTGATATTGAACCTGCTGGGAGTGTTTATCACCTTTAAAGGTATTCTCAAGTTATGTTTAACAAGCTTCTCAACCAATAAAATTGAACAATTTTATTTGTCATTTGCTTTACTTCAATAAAAATTGAAACATTTAATTTGATTTGACTCGCAAGAGTTTCAATTAAGATGTAACAATGTTAAATCAATTGTTAAATTGAAGTTGATTGATTTTTTCAATCATTTGTAATACATTTTTCAACCTTTCAATCTTTGTTTTACATTTTTTTCTGGTTCAACGTCAAAAATGATTACATTTTCAAGTCAACCTTAAAGACAAATTTAATATTGAAGTGAACAGATGAAAGGGAATTAAATGTTAACTCAATTGAAATTGATACAAAATATTGTCTTAGAAACTGAGAAAATATTGAAAATTTCAATTGATAATAGATTGATGATAAAGTCAACCCATTTCAATCAAAATGGAAACTTTCAAAAGCAACTTCTAATAAAATGTTTCCTTTGATTTAACCAACAAAAACATGAAAAGTGAATAAAATCATAATTTTCATAATTATCAAACCAGGTAATAACAATTGATGTGTCAACATTGACATTGACAAGTAATCATTAGTTTTTTCGTTTTTTTCATGTTTCATCTTCTTGAACATCAAATGATAATGACAATGTCTTAATTTTTTTACCTGCAAAGACAAAGTAAGATGGCTTCAATGGGTCCAAGTTGACAATGTAACTGTCATGGGCATCTTCATGACATTCATTGTCTCTTTCATTGAAACAACTTTACATGATTGAACAATTTATTTTCAGAATTTGTTGATTACTTTACTAGGTTTGACTCTTTTTTTTGCTTCGCTCATTTCACAGGCAAATAATCAACTTTAAACCCTCTTTGCATTTCCAACTCTTAACCTTTCATTTCAAATTTGATTTGCAACTCACCAATTCATCTCAACTTCATCATTGCCATGATCATGGCAATTCTCAAAGGAGTAAAGACTATCAATCTCTCAACTAATAGAACCGAATCTTACCTAAGAATGAAATTTGTTGCAACAATTTGGGATTTCTAACTTAATTAATATTCTGATTTGATTGAACACTTTTTGTCAGTCGCTTGTAACATTCATTTAATCAAATTTCATTTATTGATTTATACTGATCGATGAAAGGAAGAGACAAATTGACAAACTAAATTACAGCAATTTGTGAATAGTTAATCAGCAGTTGCAAGTTGCTTACAAATAAAGTCGAGAAGAGGTTTAATCTTGTAAATGAAAGCAAAAGATTAAAGTGCAAAATCGCATTTTCAAGTAAAGAAGCTTAAAATGGAGTGAAAAGAAGACAATGTTTCATTGGAAACAATTGAATTGAGAAGAGATAATCTTCTTTAAACCAACAATTTAATTGTTTACAATTAAAGGTGAAAATAACTGGATCCCAGTGAAACCAGGAAACGTTCAATGAATCGTGTTTCATTGAAATGTTGATTATTGCTTGGAAACTTATTGATTACTGTTTCCTTTTTTTTTCGTATCAAAACAAACAAAAATGGATAACATTTATTCATAAGGTAACTCTGATGGTTTCCATGGAATCGCAACTTGTC